TTTTCGATGGTTTTAGGTCCATGTTTACAAGAACTCAGCTCTGTTTACATGTACTCGCACTTGGTTTTCACGCCGTGAACGACGTCCTCGACCCAGTCTTACAACAATTTTACTCGTCGTCGTCGTCCCATTCGTCGTCGGTGCTTAAGGTCCCTATTGTCGCAGCTTGCACGCCAGCTCATCACACGTAATTTTGCTTTCTTGTGATAAATACGTCATGAGTGATAAAAAAAAAAACCCGACCTTTTTAAACTTGGCATCCAACATCATGTATCGGAGGGCCACGAGTTTATCAGTCAATGACTGTAAAGTGTTTTTACCCTCATTAAATAAAGTTACTTACTTACTTACTTACTTACTAAGTTGAATTTACTGAATTTATTGCACTATATGTTTTGGGTGCGAATCGTGTTTACGAAGACGTCAGTTCAGTTGACGATCTTTTATGTTTTATCATCATATTCTCTTGGTTTTATCTTATTATTTCTGGACACAACACCGACTCGTTCGTCATTGTCTATTGTTACGTACTTCCCTCTCTAAATAGAATTGCATCCTTGCTTGTTTGCTTGATCGGTTCAGCAGGTGAATTTTGAGAATAAATTACTGAAGATATTCAAATGAAATGAACTTGATAAGGACAATATTTATGGCATGGAATCGTAATTACAATCTGGCACGAAAGGCTATTGAAGCGGCGTTTTGGACTGCAAGATTAAAACAGAGTTCCTTGTCTTGCAATTTTTGACACGAAGCGCTTCGGAAGTTGTTTATTTTCTGGTTTCTACGAAACTAAACGGCTGAGTACAGGAATAAGTCAATTATGCTAGGAAATAGCGCTTGATCGTTCTAGGAGTTTGATTCGTCGGTTTTATCAGGTCATCGTAGAATTTTAGAGTAATTTCAATTCGGCGGCGAGTCTTTACATGTCATTGCTGGGCATGCTGGTGAAAATAAATGAGGGAGACTCTGAGTATAATAGTCAAATGAAATGCGATATTAAAACCCCTACCTATTTCCAATCGCGCGAAATTAGTTTTTATTTAATTATGTGCTGGTAAAATTGTTAAGAACGTCGATTGTAGCAGTGGAATGCCAGTATATAGTATGTTTACAAGCCAGTAATACAAAAACAGAGGACGATAAAAATGTTTTACAAATAGTCTTTCATTAAAGCATTATTGGCTGACAAATGTACATAGACTCATGATAATTTTAAATTTTAAACGCCGATTATTATTAACAAATCGCATTTCTTGTACTTGTATATAAACAAACATCAGTGATCAATGAATTAAGATCTACTTGATAAGTTTCACAATTGCAGCAAGCTTCAGACCAGCAAATTTAGGTATTTTTATTTGATAGAAACGGATAAGTATGGAACCATAAAACTGTTAAAAATTTGAACGGTTAGTATAAAAGCGCTGCAAAATTCCTAACTTAAATTTCCGTAGGAGTCACGACGGAGAAAGTAATTTTAATGGACAATATTATGTCAATTTAGTGCGACCTTATATAGCCTCTTTAAGAAAGGTAAAAGAAATAAAGAATCGGTTGACCTACAATGCAATATATATAACTTATATACTTGCAAATATGCAGTCAGACGTCATCGATGGTTTGTCTGTGTTTTAAAATTGTAAACTGAAGTGAAACGTACACACAGAGCGGAGTTTTCAATTAAGTGTCGAACTACGCTCATTTGCATTGCTTTGCTTTTACATTGCTATGTACGCTAAACGATTGGCTAACAATACTAGTTCCACTTTGTCATCGAATATAAATAGCAAAATTATTTAACAAATAGATTCCATGTTGCAGTTCGTATGTTCAGTAATAGATCACAGATGACGATAGCCGAGTTCCGATGTTCCTACCACATTTTGAAGTCTTCTGTGATCTATTACTGAACAGACGCACAGCAACATGGAATCTAATGTTTAATTTAATAAAGAAACAAAAACAAATGCTATGACGTCATCTATACTTCTGCCCTCCAACTGAACATCAGTAACAACTGCTCAAAATGCGAGGATAATTTAACTTATAACTAATAAATGGACTTGCTCGCTCACTTTTGCCCGCGCTTCGACTCAGCTGCATCTATTTGCCTCAAGTTTTTGATTAGTTCGCTGCGTTGGCTGCGACCTTTGAAGCTGGCTAGATTGATTACTTGGGTTTTGATTTTGTGGCATACAATCAAAAACTGTTCTACATTGTTCCACGGTGAATTGACTAAATGTAAACCTAATTGAGTAAAAAACTAGCTTAAATATGTTCTCGTTACTCTCACAAAACCCCTTTCTCTACTCAGAGATAAAACGAGCGCAGTTAATTGTTGGACTAATCCCCAAAATGTTGGATGGAAGGGAGGGTGCAGATTGCAATCTTATCTAGGGGTAGGGAAGGGGTAAAGGTAAAGTCTGCATGCGAGCCAAGTGGCCCATCAGGCCGGAGCTTATCCCGGTTTCTGTAGCATGAAGCGACTAGGAGTATTTCTACTCCCC